GGGGGGGGGGGGGGGGGGGGAGAGGGGGGGAGGGAGAGGGAGATTGATTCACACATTTTATAAAGCCAAGTGCCACCTGATGCCTGAGAATGATTTTCAAACCAGGCCTTTGTCATTACTCTGTAAATTGTCAGGTATCTTTGCAGGACGATATTAACAACGGCACCAACACTGCTTGAGAATCCCTAACGGGGAGTTGGGCAGCTGGCAGACTAAGCACCTTCTCCATGGCCCCCAGAGCATTTTTGGTATGGGAAAGGGGATGTTTACAAGACAAAAATACTTTATTTTTCCACCCCGCCCCCCATCCTCAAACAGGCCAAAAGGGTCAGCCCTGCTCACTTTAGCAACATCATGAGAAATGCCAGGGGCAAAGAGAGAGAGTCCCCACACCCCTAAATAGAGAATGCTAGAGAAAGCTGGGCAATTGCCTAAAAGATCCACCTATACCTTGCCACCCCAAGGAAAAGCTTCGGGGGCTAAGGACATTTGCAGGCTTTCTAGGAAAGGGGCATGGCTGGCTCAAACAACTCCAGTTGGTACGGTGATGTCGAATAAGGGCTTTGCAGCCACGGGCCCAGTTTGTGCTAGTTTTAGCCTTCTTTCCAATGCCTAAGCTGAGGGGGGTGGGCTTAAAAATGGAGCAGTTGGCAGCATTTCAAGTCCCTGCCCCCCACCTCTCCCCTAGGGATGCAGAGGGGAATTGTTTGCTGGGTTTTTTTCCCCCACAGCCCCCAGCCTGGTCTGCTCCACTTCCAAACTCAACTTTTCTTTTGCCAATCTCTCCCCCCTTCTCCAAAAGTGGTTCTTTCCAACAGTGGAAGGAATAAAAACCTTTGAATGATAACGCCAAACGCTTGTGCCCTAACCAAGCTCGCCACCTCAGTTCTTGCTCTGGGCATCTCCACCTTCAACTGACAACTAGAACAAGAATTTTTCTGACCAGGGCAGCTGAAGGCTAGCCATTTCCCAGGCATTTCCTCCATCTTCCCAACTGTCTTAGGCACTGACAACATTCTTTTCCAAACATCCAGGGAGATCTAATGACTGCGTTGCTCACTATTACCACTGACAGGCTGGGGGCCTTTTCTTGGCTCTTGAGGGCCACACGCACAGGCTCTTTGGCTGCATCCTAAGTATCTTACGTTGCCAATCTCTGCTGCTGACTGTAATCTGCCTCACTTTGCATTTTATCATTCCATTTCGTTAATCTGTAGAGAAGTCATCACGGGGTTGCACCGAATGGGACAGACATCCTTGCAGGCAAGGAACTGAATAGCCGTACTGGAAAAACTCTGAAAGGACCAGGGACCTTTCAGTGAATGGCCAGACCTTACCTTCCTCCTCCTCCTCCCATCCTGGCTCCTCAGAGTGAGCACTTTGCTCTGCCCGCTGCTTCAGAGCCTCCCTCCGGACCTCCTCCTGGGGTGACAAAGAATGCATGCAACAGTCAGCAACACTTCTACTGGCTCTTCTGCCAAATGGGGAGGGGGAGAGAGAGAGAGAGAGAGAGCGTGCGCAAGAGAGCAACCTCAGCTTCCTGGCAAAACAAATTCTCCCTGGGCAAAGGCCTGCCTTTCCAAGGGGAGGGGGGCTTTCTGCCAGGCTCAGCCAAAAAACCCAACAGGATGCAAAAGCAGCACCAGCGGGGCTACAACCCAGGGATGTAAGCAGAGGCAAAACAGAAGCATGCTGGGGGCTGATGAAGGAATAATCAGAATCTAAAAGCAAGGCAGAAGGGGGTGAGACGTTCTCTCAAACATAGCGTGTTGAAATGCGACAGGAAGTATGCAAGAAAGGAATAAACTTGCTGTCCTTCCCTGCTATTATATGGCCAGGCTTCAGTAAATTATAAATTGGATTAAGAGTATCGCCTGAGCACCTTTTTGGCTCTTTTCGGACTGTAAGTCCAGTCCCCAACGTAGGACACAAAGGTTGCGGTAACTGGAACAAACGCATAACCCTCGCTTGAGGAATGTTTCCGCAAACTCACCTGCTCCAACTGGTGGACTTTATAGAAGTAGCGCTGCCAGAATTCCGAGTGGGAGACAGCCACAGGCACCTAGAGCCATCGGAAAGAAGCATCAACTTTCCTAAACCATCACTGCATTTGTTTCACTCAATGTGCAATGCAAGAGAGATCAACCTGTGTAACCCCACCCTTACTGATCTGCGCATTAACCATTCCTCTGACTGAATGGACAAGGTGTGCATAGGTGCTTGGGTATAAATAAGCTGTTCCAGCAGTTCTAAGAGCAAAACCCAATAGATGAAAAGGAAGTTTGCTCCTTCAATTCTGCTGCTTCTTGGCAAGAAACAAATCCAGTGGTTTCCAGCTTGCCAGTACATTCTGCAGAGACCAAAGCCCTCCGTATCTCACACTGAGACCAATATGCTGGACAAGTTAAAAAAACATATAATCCCACAGATAGTTATTTTCAAGCGGCAAACCTCTATCCATTGGCTTGAAGAAAAGATGGAGGAACTCAAGGAACCAAGCTTACCATCTTGGAGTAGAGGGAGCGGATGGAAGGGCTGTTCCCCAGCAACTCTGATATTTCTCCTTTCTTCTCTTCCAAGCTGAAGTGCAAAAGCCAAGCCTCAAATAGCTCAGGGGGTCCTGCGGAAGAAAATACCATGTCCACCAAAGCACCATGGCTATGCCAAGACAAACAAGGATAGCCACAGTTACACAAGCTTCCTTGGCCCACAAAACCAAACACTGTTTTCTGCACTTACAAGGCCAGACCTATGGCCACTATCCTACTTTCAGATAAAAGTATGTGGACTTCTCAAAGGGAACAAAGCTGATCCTCCTTCCTTGTTTGTGAACAGGCTTAAATGACAAGACAACAGGAAGAGTCTGATGGATCCAATCAAGGATCTAAAGAAGGATGCCAGAAAGGGGAGGCATGGGAGACCAAGATCTATTGCCCAGGGACCAAATTACAGTATGAGAGAAAAGATGACAACAGTGATTTCCAAGAGTTATGACTACAACATGCAAAACAAACAAACAAAAATAAGTATTATTACACTCCATCTTTTATTTCCTAGAATAAAAAGTCCCAATTCACTAGCCTTCCTTGCTGGAAAGTTTGCCAGCATACCCTGGCTTTCCAGAAGCACAGCAGACAATATACCATCACCTTTACCGTGAAAGAGCAATGTACATGGACCACCACACATGACAGGAGAGGGGAACAGGGGACACTTGCATTCCTTTCCCTCAAGTTTCGAAGAGCTGAAAGGCAGTCCAAAGAGCCCTGCCAGACACCCACAGTCAAGCAAGCAGTGCTACAATCCTAGGGCCACCTCCCAGCCCGACCTCTTTCCTACGCATAGGGCTGGTTTTCAGATCTGCTAGCCAGGAAGCCATTCAGAGAGCTGGAGTCTCAACATACACGGAAGGCACTAGGCTGGGGTCAGGCGAAGGGAAAGTGAGGAAGAAAAAAAATATAGCAGAAAAATCAAAACACAGTTCAAATGCAACTTGGATCTTATTTGCAATGACTGCATGACAAATTTCTCAGATTTTTGCCATTAATAACTTGGCTTGTAGCCATCCAGACAGGCTTTGATCAGTTGTAGCTGAGTAAAGATCCTGAACCTTGACCTCCCCTTACAATATCACCTGCCTGCCGACCTCCAGTCTGTTGCTCAGGCTCTATTTGATCTTTCTACGATAGACCTGACAGACATTAGCTTTTTGTAGTATCAGCTTGTACTCTTGAAAGGTTTGCCTTTATGAAGGCTGGAAGCATGGTACGAGCTGCACTCATTATCTTGTAGATGGTGCTCCTGTTTTCCAGAAGGACTTAATTCCATATACTTCCCCTGACCAAGCTTTCCTGCCTGTGATTACCTCACAACTTACCATCAGGTTCATTGCAGTAAGTGGCAGGGTCAGACTGAAGGCTATAGAGCCGAGCCTGGAAGAGAACAGGCAGGTAAAATTAGATGAACAAGCGACATTCGCAAAAGGGAGAAAAGCTCTATTTTAGGGGCAGGAGGGCTGCAGGTGTACCTTGGCACTGTCATACAACTCTGTGGTCCCAGATGGAGTCGCCATCAGGGTGATGACGTCACAGTCAATGGTCTTATCTGGGGAGGGTGCAAATGTGTCTGAAATGACACCCAGGAAGTTGGACAGTCCTTTTCTCACTTTTTCAGTTGCCCCCGAAGAGCTTTCCGTCTTCACATACACAAAAAGGAACAATGAAAAAAAAAATTAAGCCACAGGAAGCAGAGATGACAGCATCCTACAAAATTTAACCAAGTGTTAGGTTATATTTCTTTATTTATATATCAAATTTGTCACCACCCATCTCATTGAAACGACTCTGGATGGTTTACAGCAAAGATAAAATTCATTAGAATACAATATGTCATACAATATTATATGTCAAAGCAATACAGAGTCTACTTGGTAAAAGCGTGCTAAAACAAATGAAACTCTGCCAGTATTTTCCCCTGCGACGTATCCCTTCACCTCAGTTACGAGACCCCTCACTTACAGCCAGCTTCTCTTTGACCACACTGGCAGTAGCAGCAATGGTGCAGGCTGTATCATGTTGGACCACCTGGGTGAATTCGGTCAAGTCACGCTTCATGAACTCCAAGGCCTCTGTAGACTGCGCAGAGAGAGAATGTGTACACTGACTCTTGTGGGGTAATTCAGAGTTACTACAGAATTTCAAACAGTTGCTATTAGTTAAAGGGGGAGGTGCAGGGAGCTGGCAATGGTGGAGCCAGAAATTTCTGAACCCTCCAGTGCATGACCAGTAAGAGAATACAATGGAATATTTTCAAAAAACAAAGCTAGACATCTGATGGGTCAATTGTCTTTTTATTATATGCAGTTTCTATTTCAATGTATTAAATAAAAACACATTTATTTCCATTCAGATTTGAAAAAAAAGGCTCAAATTAACAATAGTAACTAATTTGTACTACGTTACAATTCCAAGATTTATGCTCTGAATGGGGAACACCATTTCCAGCCAAGTTACCCTTTCCTATCTTAATGTTTGAAAGTTAAACGCTTGAACAGCAACAAGATGTGCTTTTTAAACCGTGCTTAATTAATGCAGGAAGGCTTTAAAAGCCATACATTAGAGTCTATCTGATTCATAACAACATGGGTAAGGCACTATTACTAACCAGACTTAATAACAGAGGAAACAAAGGCAGGTGATTTGCTCAAGGCCACCTGGCAAGTTTGTCAACAAACAGGAATTTGAGCTGGGATCTCATTGTTTCAAGTCCAACACTCTGCTCCACAAGCCAAACTAATTCTAAAACTGATCTGGAAGTTTGGGGGAGGGAAAAAGAGAGGAGAAATGAGAGGCCAGGACAAGTAGTTCCCACTTGCCAGCAGGCCAGTTTCGAGTCTGGACCCCTATCTCAGCCCATTCCTCTACAGAGAACCTTTGCAGTCCTTCCTGCAAAACCAGTGACTGACCAGTAATACAGAAATTCAAAAACCCTGTTTTCAGCAAAGAAGAGGGCTCAAGCAAGCATAAGCACCTATACCTCAAGATTAAAAAGCACCCCAAAAGTTGCTCCATGGAGTTTGTTATGACTGAGCAGTGCCTCTTGACCATTATCTTTATTTACTGCATAATTCCAAAATGGCTTGCCTACCTTCTCTTTGACGGTTTGAAGGCTTTGCTGTAGCCAACTCCTCCACCAGCCTCCATCTTCTCTGTTACAGGACAAACATATGAAGCTAAATAGTTGGTAACTATGTTTTAACATTTGATGGATTACATAAATCCTGTCAACTGTAGCAGCTTCAACAAGCCTAAACTAATCATAGCCGAGTATAATGTATGAATTAATATTACAATCGTTATTTTAATGCTTGGTATCGTATTTGATTTTTTAAAAAAGCCTAAATGGGATATTAGCAGATATTCAAACAGTCACCTTTCTTTTAACAGGTAGCAAACCTGAGTGATCTCAATGAGATTTGCTTCTAAATAAACCCAGTTAGAATCAGCTATGAAACAGGATGATATCGACTAATAATATTCAAAGATATGTTGAGAATACAAACGTCCATGGTGATATCACCTGCATGTTTATAAGGCTTGGCTCTATTTTTGGCATCAAACTCAAGCTTCCAGAATTTACAGTATGTAAAAAGGAGGCAACAAACAAAATAAACAGCAATTCCTCAAGCAGCATGTATTTATAATAGCACGGAAGAGAATTACAAGCTCGTGAGCCCATATGTCATCATGTAATTTAGTTTGGGTAGCAGCAGGAGAATGCGGGCTTACTGGATTCGCCATCCATTAGCACTGTTTCTCAACCTCGGCCCCTTTAAGAGGGGTGGACTTCAACTCCCAGAATTCCCCAGCCAGGCTG